GTTTATGCTTGCTTGGTTGTTCGTCAACTGAGTCATTGTTGCATTATTGTATGATATAATGAAAGCAATTTGGTGTTGTTCTCAGCTGTTTCATTGCACTAAAGACTGACCGACTGAATAACACTCATGATCTCATGCTTGAGCTTGTCTTCAAGCTATCTATCTGAGAAAATAGCACTCAAAAGGTTTAGGAGAGGCATAAGGAGGTGCTGTATTAAAAGGCCTCAGATATTACCTGCTGCTTCGAGAGATGGTTTTGGCGTTCGTGTTTTTGTGCTCTCAGACTTGCATACTGACTATCCAGAGAACATGGCATGGGTGAGGAGTTTGTCCACTAAGAGACACAACAAAGATGTACTTCTTGTTGCCGGTGATGTAGCAGAGATGTATGATAACTTTGTTTTGACCATGTCTCTCTTGAAGGAAAGGTTTGAATACATCTTCTATGTACCTGGAAACCATGATCTTTGGTGTCGCTGGGAGAGAGAAGATGTAAGAAGCAAACATATACTTCTTTAGATAAAAGAAATTCAAATTTCACTTGCTTATATATAAATATACTTTTTGATATCATCTTGTGTATTTACTATATGAAATTGCAATATTGTCACATGGTTAAACAAATCTTCCTCATTTAGTCTCTTATCAGGTGTCTACTTATGAGAACAGTCAATTTTTTCCCCTAGTGATGCTGGGAGTTTTGTCAACTGTCTTGTATTTCTGAAAGCTGCATCTGGCATTTTGGTTTTGTTCTTGTCCCTTGAGTTTTTATTAAGATGCTGAAGATTTCCTTACATTGCCAACTGCTGTATGGTTTGTTAGCGAGTGCTGTAATCTTAGCTCTAGTGCTAATTTCAATCCCTGGCCCCCCTCAAGTATAATCATTATGATAAACAGAACATTTTTTACTCATTAGAAGATGTGTATGATATCTGATGTAACCTCACATATTTTGCTTGTTCATAAAAATGATGGCATTTTTTGTATTGATTTTCTGTTCATAGAAGTTAAGTGTATTGTTAGATATCCAACTTCAGTGTTCTAAATTTTATAATGCTGCTCTGCTTGCTTATTGTTTTTCCAACTTATTTATATTCAATTGTGATGCCTCCTTGCTGCTATTGATTTTCGTAATATAGTAAAGTAGTATGGTTTCATTTCCAGCTAGATTCTCTTCAGAAGCTGAATAAATTGCTTGATGCATGTAGACAACTTGGAATAGAGACCAATCCAGCGGCTATAGATGGCTTGGGGATTGTTCCATTATTTTCTTGGTACCATGAGGTGATTACTCTGTAAATGGTCCTTTTTTTTTTGGTTCTTGGTTGTCCCTTATAAAATTTAGTCTGACAAAAGGTAAATCTTCTTTGTTCTCTACTTTTACTTATATTGCAGAGCTTTGATAGGGAGGATGACATAGTTGGCATGCGAATTCCATCTTTGGATATGGTGATTAACTTTCTTTTGCCCTTGAACATTCCATTTCTTTGGTGCATGACAGTCATGCTGGTCTATTGTTTTCCATAGTCCATTGATGCTTGATAATTATAATTTTCTTCTTATATTTAGTAGATTTTGTCATAATTTACGTCAAAGCTAAATTGCTATAATTAAGGAAACCACTGTGTTTGTGCTATCTGATATTACTGAAACAACCATATAATAACTATCTGCATTACCTACAGCTTTGGAAGTGCTAATTTTAAATGAAATAATGAAATGCTATCTCACTTATGTTGATTATTGCTTTTATTTTATTTACAAACTATAGATGTCTAACAGTGTAGCTTCATGTGTTTCTTCTGTCCTCAGCCCCTCGCTCTTTATTATATTTCATTAAGACATGTTCTATTCTGCATAATTAGCCGGCGTTGTATGTTTTGTACTTTTGTTGGTCAATCACTAGATATGACAAGTTCTCCCAGGTGTTTATTGTCCTTTCATTGCTCTTTATAATATTCCTTTGTTTGAAATTTAGGCATTACCATCTACATGCTTATCTTGAAATGTTTTGGTAAATTACTGTGTTCTTTTTTCTGTACTTCTCTTGTTCATTTGGCTTTAACTTTCTGTTTTTGTTATCATTATTTGGTCTGATAGCATGTAGCTTGCTTCTTTTATTAGGAGAGATAGAGGCTTCCTCTCCCTGCATTTTATTCACTAAGGCTAATGGGTTCTTCCTCTTATTTAGAGACGGTCTTGGTTGTGATCCTAAGTTTATATAACAATTTCTCTTAATATTTAGTGGCAAGTCTTTTAGCTCTCAAAGCCCAAAATCCCCATCTCTGCGAGTTGTTTTTTTCCATTTTTGGGTGCTTTATGAGATTCAGAAAGGTTTTTGCTCATAATGTATCTGTCCGTCTCTTTTATTCTTATAGGCATGTAAGGATTTTCATGCATGCAAGTGGCCTGGCAACTTTTCAAACAGGGATACCTCTCTTGCTTTGTACTTTGACGCAATGAATGAAAAGAACCAAGATGATGTGAAGCAGATTCAGATGACTTGTAGCCACATAATTACATTTTCTCACTTTGTTCCTAGGTTAGCTATATTCTCATTCAAGCTCTTGATTTGTTTTAGCTAGTCGCTTGCTGATTCATTGTTGCTCATTGTTTTAAATGTAGCTGTGATAGTTTAAAGAAGGATGGTTTCTTTAATATTGGTTGGAAATCACTGTCTTGTAGATACATAGGACTAAATGTATTAGGATTTGCAGAAGAACGGAACACTTATGTAACATAGGCATCTATATGTGATGGCAAGAATGATCTAGCAACCATCAATGACATATTATAGGGAGAGTGCAATTGGTTATAGCAGTTTTTTCAGTGGCGCAAGTGCACTCTAGTATGCTAGGACCCTTATATTGCCTGAGGCACAATGCACAAAGAAAAGTGCTGGTGTGAATGAAGTAAGGTGCATTATATATAATAAGCTTAACGTATATATTTCTGATCATAAACTTTAATTGGTGGTTCATTTTTATCTAACAAAACATGCAAAATTTCCTTCATTTGTTGGCCAATATTCATGAATTGCTTTGGCCCCAAGTTTGCTGTTGAAGACTCAAAACATTTAGAGTAGAGAGTTTGACATTGTTCTTCTTTGGCTAATAAAGATACAAATATGGAAAAAGAAATACAAAGAATTTCAGTCAAGCAAGCTGCTTCTTCTTCTTCATCTAGGGTCTTAGAGAAAAGGGTGCCGAGGCACACTGCACACCAGGCGTTTGCCTAACAAATGGTGGCTCTGGCATGGGTTTGACGCACATCTATTCTCTTGTGCTGCACTTTACGACCTAGGTGTGATCCTTGACAACACTAGTTGTACTTGTTATGTGAATGTAAGTAAAAGGAAAATATTCTTAAAAAAAAAATACAAGAAAAATGACTGGACTATACAAGGGTGATGATGATATTCTGAACATGAGGATTTCTAGTTGCTGGAGCAAGAAACTAGAAAGAAAAATGATTAAGCAATTATCTATTATAAAACATAAATTGGATATTGGATAATTAGGAGGATTTACTGAAAGTAGTTCAGATTTCATAAGTCGCAGCCTATTCTAGGAAACCTGAGGAAACAAAGAGGTGGCATTATTATTTTGATTGTCAGATACTCAGGCATCAGTAAAAAGTTTAAGAGAGACCTCAACTTTAATAAGCTTGCTAAGATTTTGACAGAAACACATTAAGCACAGAATCACATTCTCTTAAGGCCAGTATTAGGATCAATCTGATTTGTCTTATATGAGAAATATGAGCAGCTTGCAGGACAACAATAGAATCAACTATGAACAAGTTCCTAAATGGATATGCAGCACCTGTGATTACAATAAATAGTGCAGACAATCTTTTCATATTCAACAATTTTTTAAATTGCTCAATATATGCTTACAACTAATTAAAAGAGTGAGAAGGTAAAGAAAAGGAAAAAATATGTAGTATAAATTGTGGTAGTAGGTTATTATTCACTCTATTTAGCCCTAAAAGTGATTTAGAATGAACTTTGGGAATGCAGGAGGATGTATAAGAAATGTTATTTAATTGGTGGAGACTGAAACGGATTTTGGAAGAGACCAAACATTATGTTAGCTTCTATGGAGTGCTTCTGTATTACTTTGAAATAAATAATAATTAGTTTATTCTTTTCTTGAAGAGTTCATTAATCATTTTTCTGTCAAAACTTACAAACAATTAGGTTAATTAATGATCTGCATTAACTTATAAGAAATCTTGGAGAATGTTGGGGTTGATGTTGATATACTTATACTATATTTTCTGTTAATACTCTGCATACCATTTAGAGAAACCTTGCAGAATTGTTGAGCTTAATGATTAAATATTTGTGTTGTTTATTTTATTTTATTTTCCTTATGATTTTTTAAATATTGATTGTTCAATGAGTCTTCTTAAAGAGCCTCAATAATAATTATAATTTGAACAAGAGAGCTTTGAGAACTAACTGAGATAAATTTGTCAGCGAGAAGGTTCATGTTTTAATATGTTAAGAGGCAAAACGTATTACTCTTTCTAACCTTCATGCTTGGTCACCTAATTGGTTCGACATATACATGGAGAAGGTTTTTATGCTGCTTGTATTGTATATTCTTATGCAGGCAGGAACTATGTCCAGAGAAAAGAATGCTGTTCTATCCAAACCTCCCCAAAATCATTGGTTCTGATTGGCTCGAGGATCGTATAAGGTCTATACATGGGGTTGAAGGTAGTTCCTTTGCATGTCATGTTTTTGGCCACACACATTTTTGCTGGGATGCCATAGTGGATGGAATCAGGTATTATGATTTTCTCCTTTTTCATCAATTTTATGATATTTCTTGAAAATGTTCTCTATCGTAATCAATGTATGCAGTTAGGAAGAACTAGATGGTAGCCAATAATAATTGAAATTAAAATTTTACACTTTGTTGATTAATGACTAAAATACAAACCACTCCCACCGACCTCCCCCCTTAAAAGGAAATGGTAAGACATTGACCCACTTACTTTCAAAATACCATGTTTCCCCTATTTGATTCTCCATAAAAAATGATTTGAATCTTGCAATTGTTCCATTATTCGACTATATTAGGCTAATAAATTGCGTTTTTTTTCTTCAAACTGATGCATTTTGAAAACCAGAGAAATTATAGATTAATCCTATGAGACTGTTCATTTAATGCTTGAACATGCATAACTGATGGAGTAGATGTTTAGATTTTATTCTTATGTGTAATGTTTTTTTCATTAGTTGATAAATGGATAGAATCTCTCACTACTTTCTATTTCTTAACGTTTTTTAAACACAAATTACTCCCTCAGTCCCATATTATCTGTCCCTTTTGGATCAAAGTTTTCTAACTTTGACCTTTAATTATAAAAAATTTATATAAAAATAAATTTTAAAAAATTATGTTTTGATTAAGTTAAGTCTTAAACTTTTCAAAACATATTTTTTGAAAATTTGATTGTATATATATTTTTTGTAATTAAAGGTCAAATGTTTGATTGATTTGACCCAAAAGGGACAGATAATATGGGACGGAGGGGTAAATTTTTTTTTCTGAGTTCGCTTACATTAGTTTGTGTGGTAAAGACTAAACACTAAAGAACTGATAAAGAAAGCAGGAAGAGAACGTTAACCATAAAAAAATGAGGTTTCGTGCCAAGGGAAAAAGAAATAAGAAAGGGAGCTTAAAGCAACAGTTTGACTAACATGATACATGGTCAAAGGGTAATAGTGGTATTTTGAAACTAGAGACGTGAGGGGGTAGTGTCTTTTAGGGGCAGTCGTAGGGGAGCTTAGTGTCTTTTAGGGGTGTTCTAAAAATGATCATAAGTGGCTTTTCAACACTTTAACTAGTACATTACAATTCTCTCTCTCTTTTCATTTTTTAATTTTTAACTTGAGCTAAATTTAAAATGCTTTTTTCATTTTGCATCTCTATGTTTACACATGTTTACACTATAGATGATCACTGAATAAAGATGATATCTAAATTTGAATATACTAGTTTTACAATATAATAAAAAATCACCAAAGTTGGGTTTTCAACACTTTTAAGTTTTAACGACATTTAGAAACCTTTCTGTTGCTGCTATTCAAATTTAGTTAATATATTCATGACTATATTTTGAGTGGTAGAGGAAGATAGAGAAGTTCAAACATTTTCTAAAACTAAACTTGCTCTATATGTTTCTCTTTGGATTTTCAAATGGGTGCATAATTAACATTGAAAAAAAGAAGTTATTTAAAAATATGTTGTGGATTTCAATTTTTATCAATAATTTTAGTTGATATTATCACTTTTTAAAATTGGTTGTGCTTTTGTTATGATGTTATATAGCAAATATATGAGAAGCCTATGATGTGCAGTTTTTAATTTTGTGAGTTTCTTGATTTGGGTACTAATTAGAAAAACATTATGCTAGATTTGAAACTATGCATAAGACATTTAGAAAATTGTTGGCTCTCTTTTCTGTGGTGCATAAGCATGGTTTTTCTTTTTTTTTTTAATTTCCTTCTCCATTGGTTCAAAATTACATATATAAATTGTCACAAGAAATGAAAGGACAATCAGCATAATAAATATGGGAAAATCATGCAGATATATACAAGCACCATTGGCTTATCCTAGAGAGAGGAGGAGAAGAATGAATGGAGGGGAGACTTGGTTGCCATTTTGTGTATATTCCGATAAGGACTTTGCCGGCAGAATTTCGCCATGCTACTGGTCTGATTATTATGCTGCAAATCCAAGAACCCCAGATAACACTCAACTTGCTCCATGGGTTGCCAGATTTTATAAATTAATTTAGCCAAAAGAACATGGTATACTGTAAGTATATAAATGCTTAAAACCATTTATTCTTTGAGGTTCTTGCACAGAACGAGGCTTAGGAGGGCCGAAAGAGAGCTGCTTTAGGGGGAATTCTTGAGATTAATGGGAGTGGCTTGGTGAAGCGGACATGGGAAAATGAAATTGAGATGTTTGATCTGCAAGGTGAGATGGGAGATGCGGCGGTCTTATAGGGTGACAATCAGAATCCGATTGAAATACCAGCGGCGTGGATGGCAAGAGATGACCATCCTTGCCGAGGAGAATGAGTTGTTTGGCATGGAACTCCCGAGGATTGGGAGCTTCTCGGGCAGTTCATATCTTAGCCAAGTTAGTTAGAAGTAAATGTCCTAAAATTTTATTTCTTCAGAAACAAAGAGTAAACAATCCGAAATGGATTGGATACGGGTCAGACTAGCTTTCGATAATTGTAAATCTGTTGATTGTTGTGGCCGTGTTGGTGGCCTCTCTCTGCTTTGGAATAATTCAGTAAATGTCTCCCTCTTGTCTTACTCTCTGCATCATATTGATGTGATAATTGATGAAAACACTGATAACTCTTGGAGATTTACGGGTTTCTATGGATTCCCAGAAGTCACTTGTAGAGTAGAATCATGGCAATTATTGAGAACTTTAAAGAATCATTCAAATATACCATGGCTTTGTAGTGGGGATTTTAACGAAATTCTTTCTAAGTCCGACAAAAGAAGAGGTGCTATTAGGCCCCAATATTTGATGAATGCCTTTAGAGAGATAGTTGATGAGTGTGGGTTTCGAGAATTGCCAGTTCGAGGGCCTTTAGTGACATGGAAAAGGAGGAACATATTCCTTCCACTTTATCGGATCACCTGCCTTTATATATTGAGGTAATTTCATATGTTACCAGAAGTTCAACATGGAAGACATAATTTCTTCCGTTTTGAGAATGTGGTGCGAGCATGATGGCATTGAAGAAGTAATACGGAATGCCTGGAAAGACCCTCAAGGGTTGGATGTTGTTAGTAAATTACACCAGTGTGGGATTCGTTTGAGGCAGAAGGAAAGATCTACTTTTGGGAATGTTCGCCATAATATTGCAAAGCAGACTAAAGATTATGATCGGTTGTATAGTTTGGCACAGCTTGGAGAGGATTCGAGTGAGTTGCAACGATGTGAGGATGATCTTAATGCTCTCTATCGACAAGAGGAAATTATGTGGAAGCAGAGATCCAAAGTGCAATGGTTAATACTGGTTTTTCCCATACTGTAGCAAATGCAAGGCATAACAGAAAATTGATATTGGGAATTCGGGACAGCAATGGTGAATGGAATTAGGATAGTCGTGTGATTGAAAAGGAAATAATGGATTATTATCGGAATATCTTCACTACTTCCCATCCATGTATGGAGGATGTGGAATATGTTAGCTCGAAGGTTGTTGGACGTGTTAGTAGTGCAATGAAGACTCATCTTCAACAGGAGTTCACGGGTGAAGAGATTAAACAAGCAGCTTTTGATATGGATCCTGGTAAGTCACTTGAGCCGGATGGTTTCACTACATTATTTTTTCAGAAATTTTGGAATATTATTGGTGATGATATTGTACGTATGGCACTGTCTTTTCTTAATGATGGGACTCCATTGCCTAATTTCAATGATACGTGTGTGGCTTTAATTCCAAAGGTTGATTGTCCAATGGTAGCTAAGGACTTTCGACCTATTAGTTTGTGTAACGTTGTGCTTAAGATAATATCAAAGGCTCTGGCTAATAGGCTGAAAGTCATTTTACCAGATCTCGTAGCTGAGAATCAAAGTGCATTTGTGCCTGATCGGATGATTTTTTATAGTGCTTTAATAGCGTTTGAAACGATACATTTTATGAAAAATAAGAGATCAGGAAGGAAGAAGCATATGACTCTAAATTTGGACCTTAGTAAGGTCTATGACAGGGTCGAGTGGAGTTTCCTAGAGTATATTGCGGACTATGGGTTTTCCTGATAATTGGATAGTTATTATTGTTATGACTTGTGTGAGGACTGTGAAGTATTCGATTGTGATTAATGGTAAACGAAGTGAGGAGTTAATTCCAACAAGAGGCATCCGACAAGGAGACCCATTATCGCCATATCTATTTTTACTATGTATGGAGGGGTTCTCTGCTTTGATACACGATGCTACTCAAGAGGGCTATATCGAAGGAGTTGGTGTAAATAGAAATGCACCAAAGGTTTCACACTCATTCTTTGTTGATGATAACTTGCTCTTTCTAAGAGCAAATGTGGCAGAATGTGATGCTGTATTGGGCCTGTTGAGGAAATTTGAACTAGCATCGGGGCAGCAAATTATTATAGGTAAGTCAGCGCTGCTTTTTAGCAGGAATGTCACTAGAGATGTGCAAGCTGTGATAATGCGGCATCTTGGAGTAGAGCGTATAATGGAGGCTGATAAATATTTGGGATGGGCAATTATGATTGGTAAATCTCAAAGAAGGGAGCTGCAAATGATTAAAGATAGGATTTGGAGCCGATTGAATGGTTGGACAAACTATTATCAGTGGCTGGTAAGATAGTGATGATTCAAGCTGTGGCCTAGTCGATGCCGGTATACCTAATGAGTTGCTTTAAGTTCCCAAAATCATTTGTGCACGAGCTGAATATGATTATTGCTAATTATTGGTGGGGAGACAAGGATAACAAAAGGAAAATACATTGGCGCAAGTGGGATGATTTATGTGTCTCGAAGTTGGATGGTGAGCTGGGTTTTCGAGTCTTTGAAGCATTTAATCTATCTTTGCTTGCTAAGCAGTGTTGGGCACTTAATGCAGAACCAGGATTCACTTTATTATCGGCTTCTGAGGCTAAGTATTTTTGGGGCAAAAACTTGATGCAAGCATCTTTGGGAAGGAACCCATCTTTTATTTGGCGTAGCTTACTAAAAGGTAGAATTGTGCTAAAGGAAGGATGTCGGTGGTGGGTTAGTAATGGTGCTAACATTAGAGCTTTTAAGGATAAGTGGATTAACAATCCACCCAATTTCATGCCAAAGCTGAGAGATGAGAGGAATCAACAAGGTGGATTGAGGATTTCTGCTTTGATAGTGTAGGATAAAACATGATCTATTGAGTATAGCAATCTAAATGGATTAAAATAAATTATGTTATTTAAATATGGAATTTTACGGAAGCGAAAGAAATCAAACCAGGGTCAATTACGGTGCTCCTTAATCTTTAATACTCGTGGTGGACTTCTGCTACAGGAATGAGCAGAAACCTCACTAATCACAGTGCAAAAACTTTTTCTTGCTTGACAATGGATGGAGAAGCTTTTTCTTTAGAAAATTCTAACTTCCTGATAAAAAAATGAGAGAGAACTTACTTACGTAGTTTTTATTTTCTGTTTTATATGTGAGGGGTTGTATTCCACTTGAATACTAAGCTAGATAATTTCTGATATAATTCCCAAGGAATTTTATCAAGAAAATATCTCCTATTATTATCCTTGTTAATTTAATCCAAATTAAATTACCAAGATAATAACCTATGTTGGGCTAGACTATCATGGGTGCAAAGCCCAAATGTCCAACATCTCCCACTCACATATGATGGGCAAGCCATCGCAAAGCCTTCTCAACCATCCCAATGCCAAGTTCATACAGGTTAATGAACCGTGCGACCACTGAGTACGCCTTGAATTTCGGGAGCTCTATACTAGGAACTCGTTAGAGCCAGCATAGAGACATCTACCCTTTTATAAAGAAATTTAGTGTCTCATGTACCCTAGACCAATTTAATCACATCAGATTGAGTATCTCAAAATCCCTCAATGAGCATACAAATCAATCTTTCCTAATGTTGCAACATATATTCACATTATGTCAAAGCTCTCAAAAGCGACATAATGGGTCGACCTTGAATATAGGGCATGACGTGATTCAAATTGTCTTCCCTCTTGCCCTCATGTCACTTGGTTTGAACCAGTCTGCTTTCCCAATAATGTCCCGTAGAACCGAATCATCCATGGTCTTAGGTAACATACCAAAGTAGCAAACATCCATTCCACGCCTTATGACATAGTCAAAGGTCACTAAGGGCACAATGTAAGGTTTCTCTAAACCTTCATAGGACTCACATGGTGAAGAAGCAGGGATCCATTCTTCCACCTCCTATATAGGTCGTAAAAGCACATGTAGTATGAAATACATGCTACAGTGGAGTGTCTCTTTTCTCTAATAAGAGCGTATGTCAAACTCAACACTGTACAGATCTTAGTCTAGTCGCTCCTTTAGCGCCTAACCTGAGCATCCTATTTGCTCGCCTTCTTAGGCGCCAAATTAGATCTCACATCCGGCTTACTTCACAGGTTTAATGGATTATGGGTCAATCCATTTTCGGTCCTTTAGTCAATCATTACTATATTGACCTCATCTTGGCTCCAACCAAGGCGACATCTTAATTATGCTCTTGCCGCTCTCAATAAGCGCTAGTAGCTTGTGTCTCATCTTTGCTCACCCCTCATAGGCGCCAAAGGCGATTGCTCATGTGAGTGAGCCAATCTAAAGCCTGTTGACATACTCCTAAATCTTGTGTGCAAACAATTCATCATAGAAGAAAATGCATGAATTTTATTAATATCCAAAAAACAAAGAGTTCAACATGAATGATCAAAATAACATAATCACCATCGACGAAGTCCTAAAGACTTTACATGAGTCACATAAGCATCCCTAGGAATAGGCTTAGTTAAGGGATCAACAACCATATGACTAGTGGATATATGTTAAGAGATCACTTCCTTTTGTGCTATCAAATCCCTAATGTAGTTGTTCCTCATATCAATATGTTTGGTTCTGCCATGATACTTTGGATCCTTGGTATAGTAGATTGCAGCCATGCTATCACAATGAATTGTCACTGGATCTACGGCGCTGGGTACTCCCAAGCTCCCAAGAAATCGCTTTAGCCAAACAGCTTCTTGCACAACTGCAGAGCACGCTATGAATTCTGCCTCCATAGTGGATAAAGCAATGCAAGACTGTTTCTTGCTGCTCCAAGTAATAGCACCACCATTGAGCAAGAATGCGTATCCCGAAGTTGATTTGCACTCATCTAAGTCACCACCCCAATCAGCATCAGTATAACCGATTAGGTTCAAGTTTGAACCGCGATAACATAACATGTAATCAGTAGTTCCCTTAAGATAGCGCAATATCCTCTTCACTGCTTTCCAATGAGCAAGCCCAGGGTTAGATTGGAATCTACTAACCAAACCAACAGCAAAGCTGATATCTGGCCTAGTGCACATCATGGCGTACATAAGACTGCCAACAGCACTAGAATATGGAACACGAGCCATCTGTTTTTATTCATCAGATGTCTTTGGAGTCAGTTGAAGACTTAAAGTCTCACCTTTTGCGATAGGAGTGTCTATGGGTTTGCAATTTTGCATCTGAAATCGTTCAAGGATCTTCTTTATGTATGTCTCTTGAGACAAACCAAGAAGCCTCTTTGAACGATCCCTTAGGATCTTAACTCCGAGCACATAATTTGCTTCACCCATGTCCTTTATCTCAAAGTTAGAGGACAACCACTTCTTAGTGGTGACAATCATCTCCATATCATTTCCAGCCAATAGTATGTCATCAACATATAATGACAAAATGACGAAACTACCCTTAGATCTCTTAACATACACGCAATGGTCCTCTTCAATCATCTCAAAACCATTCTGAATAATAGCTTGATGAAACCTAAGATACCACTGCCTAGATGATTGCTTTAGGCCATAAATAGATCGTTTGAGCTTGCAGACTTTGCGCTCTTGACCTTTTGCCACAAAGCCCTCAGGTTGATCCATGTAGATCTCCTCATCTAGCTCTCCATTGAGAAATGCAGTTTTGACATCCATCTGGTAAAGTTCCAAGTCAAAGTTTGCAACTATGGCTAGAATCAAGCGAATTGAGGCAAACCTCACAACCGGTGAGAAGGTTTCCTCATAGTCCACACCTTCTTGTTGTGTGTACCCTTTCGCTACTAGGCGAGCCTTATATCTTTCAATGGAACCATCCGCCTTGCGTTTAACTTTCAGAACCTATTTGTTCCCAATAGTCTTCCGCCCAGGTGGTAGGTCAACCAAGTCCTAGACATGGTTAGTTTTCATTGACTCCATTTCATCATTCATTGCATTAGTCCATTCTTGAACAGCAAGGGAAGATAGAGCCTCTTTGAATGTTTTAGGCTCAACTTCATCTTGCGGAGCAATCATGAAAGCTTCCCCCTCAACCTCAAAACGGCGACGAGGGACACCTCCACGTTTACTTCTACGCAACTGAGCTTGAGGATCCTCATCTACCGGCATAGATGAACTTGATGGTAAATCGCCCCCATTGTCCCCGAGAGTTTGAGGAATTGCTCCCTCATTCTCAATCGGACTACTTGGCGCTTCCATATCTGGATCCTCTTTTTCATAGAGATCTATCTCTTTCTCAACTTCCCCTCTTCTTGGGAAATCTTTTTCTAAGAAATCCACATCTCGTGACTCAATTTCAGTCACTGTTCCATCTCCATGCTCTCCTATGAACACATACCCTTTGGAATGTTCTGAGTATCTTATGAAGATACACTTTTTCCCTCTAGGGCCTAATTTCCCATCCTTGTGAGAAGTTGTGTGAACATAAGCAGCTGATCCCCAAGGCCGCAAATTACCTAAATCAGGTTTTTGCCGGTCCAGAGTTCGTATGGAGTGGAAGACACTGACTTAGATGGCACACGGTTAAGGACATAGGCTGCAGTAAGCAATGCATCTCCCCAATACGAAATTGGAAGATTTGCTTGCGCCATCATTGACCTTACCATATCCAAGAGGGTACGATTCCTCCTTTCCGCTACACCATTTTGTTGCGGAGACCCTGGAATCGTTAGCTGTCGCAAAATTCCCTTTTCATCACAGAGCTCCTTAAACTGCTCTGATAGATACTCGCGTCCTCGGTCAGTTCGTAAAGCCTTAATGCTTTGGTCTAATTGATTCTCAACCAGTGCAACATAACGTCTAAAGCAGTTCAATGCTTCGGACTTATGGGAGATCAAATAGACGTGACCAAATCGCATAAAGTCATCTATAAATGTGATGAAATAATTTGCTCCATGCCTTGCCCTCACATTCATTGGGCCACAAACATCAGAATGGATTAATTGCAATGGTATAGATGCTCGTTTGGCTTTTCCAAATGGTTTGTTGCTTTTCCAGCAAGACAATGTTCACATGTAGGTAAAGACACTTTAGCAAGTGGGCCCAATAAGCCTTCTCTAGCTAGTCTATTCATTCTGTCTTGACCTATATGGCCTAATCTAGCATGCCATTCCACAGAGTCATTGCAAACATCATTATGCGTAACAACTAAAGAAATCGAATCATCGACTTTATTATAGCTAGAATAATCAAGGTCCAAAACCATTAAACCATTTTGAACAAAGCCACAACCATAATATGTTGTTCCAAGGAAAATATCAACTTTATTGCCATCAAAGGCAAACCTAAAAGGCCTAAGCCAAACATAGTTATAACTGAAAAC